ACTTAACTTAATCTTCTAGTTGGTAAAATCTCACAGAGAAATGTCATATTTAACACCAAATTCTAGACAAAAAAATGATATAAAAATTACGGTAAGAAAATATAGAATTTAATTTCAATTATATAAATACATAAAAGAAATTGAAGCCTCTTTTTAGGACCGTTAAAAACATTAACCCCTAATTTCCCATTAGTGTAATGAAATCAGATGCTTTACTTACACTTTTTGTAATTTTCTCTAAACTAATATAAATTTTATATTAAATTAGAATAAATCGAAGTACAACAAACAATTTACAAACATTTAAAATTTTCTTTATTAGCTTTATATTTATCTAATTTTTCTCGTTATACATTAATGAAAATTAATACATTCAAAGCACAAGATCAAACACTGAAGTAGCAGATCAATATGTATAAGCTATTATTAGACAATAGACAATTAATTAATTATAGTTCAAACCAAAAGAAAAAGAAAGATTATCCTCAATTTCTTATTACTGTAATGTGTTCAGATTTTTCATGACTCACGATAAATAAAAAATAAAAAAAATGACTATGATGATTTTTATTTAGATCTGAATAAATTAAATGCAATGCAACAAATACTTTACAATGTTTTTGTTTACATAATGATAAAAATTAAAGACAGCATAAGTGTTTTATCTGAACTTATTTCACAGCAAAATAAAAATAAAAATATTTAATTATATTAAAACAATTTTAATATATTTTGCATAAATAAAATGAAAGCTTCATTGCCCTCAATTTCTTATTATTGTAATGCATTCAGATTTTTTTTATTTACACTATTACAATATAAATTAATATAATTGTTTTATTTATTTAAATCAGAATAAATTAAATTCAATATAAATACTTTTCATTAAAGTAAAAACACTTGAGGAAAATGAGCACAATGCAAAAAAGTCTTCATTTTCTTTACATTAAAAACAATTTCCTTGAATTATAATCAGTGAAATAACATCTTGACCATTTTTGTACGCATCTTGTAAGCATCACACACTCTCACATAGAAACACTCACACAGACAGACACTCTCAGACAGACAGACAGACAGACACTCACTCACACAGACACTCACTCAGACAGACACTCACTCACTCACACACAGACAGACAGACACTCACTCACTCACACACACAGACACAGATAGACAGACAGACACTCACTCACATTTACTTTTGCTTCAGCCTGAGGTTTATTCATTACACTTTTTGGTGTGAAAGGGCTTTTACATTTGAACTACATAGAACTTCTTATATTAAAAACAATCAAGCCCTGCTAATATTTAAAAAGTAACGCAAAAGTAACGTAACGCATTACTTTGCATAAAAAGTAACTAATTACGTTACTTAGTTACTTTTTATGCAGAGTAACGCAATATTATAATGCATTTCTTTTAAAAGTAACTTTCCCCAACACTGCCGGTAGCCGTGTGTGTTTTACCAGATCAAAGCCATGTGTGCGCTGCAGTCCACCGGGTTACAGAAGATGTGGCCCTCGACGCTGGGTCTGGGGCCCCGGATCCACAGGAAAACTGTATCGCTGGTGCCCAAACTCACCTGGAGAGACCAGAACACTACAGTCCATCACAAACTACTCCACAAACAACTAAGCCTCAGAAAATTTATATTTTAATTAATATTTATTATTTTGTTTATTATCATTTTATTAAATATACTAATATTTAATATTAATATTTTGGGTGAAAATAAAGTTAGAATGTTGCGATAATGTTTTATGGACCTTTAAATAACATTATTTTTAAAGTTTATTTTTAATATTCTAAGCCTCAGAAAATTTATATTTTAATTCATATAAATTAATATTTATTATTTTGTTTAAATTATTGGTTATTATCATTTTATTAAATATATTAATGTTTAATAATATTAAATATTAATTAAATATTTTTAATGTTTAAAATTAATAATATGTTACTTGAAAATTTTTTAAACATTCTAAGAATGTTAAAATGTCCAATTTTCTTGTCCTTATAATTTTATTTAAAGGTTCCTAAAATGTTTTTTGCAACATTCTACAAACTTTATTTTCACCCACGATATGTTTATTTGTAATATTCTAAGCAAATTAAAATGTCCAGTTTTATTTTCATAATTACAACATTATTCAAAGGTTACAAAAAGCATCTTACAACATTTATAACTTTTACTTTCACCCAAAATGTAACTTTATTTGAACGTTTATTTTTAATATTCTAAGAATTATTACTAACTTTTTTTTACCTAAAATAATGAATAAGAACGTTAAAATGTCCATTTTTCTTGTCGTTATTATAATTATATAAATGTTTCTTTAGCAACATTCTACTAACTCTATTTTCACCCAAAACTATAATGTTTATTTTGAACATTCTAAGAATTGGTGTCAGTAAGATTTTTAATGTTTTAGAAAGACGTCTCTTCTGCTTCATTTATTTGATCAAAAATACAGTAAAAATGTGAAATATTATTGTAATGTAAAACAGCTGTTTTCTATGTGAATATGTGTTAAACTGTAATGTATTTCTGTGATGCGCAGCTGTATTTTCAGCATCATTCCTCCAGTCTTCAGTGTCACATGATCTTCAGAAATCAGTATAATATGCTGATTTGCTGCTCGAGAAACATTTCTGATTATTATCAATGCTGAAAACAGTCGTGCTGCACAATATTTCTGTGGAAACTGTGATGCATTTTATTTTTCAGGATTCACAGATGAACAGAAAGTTCAGAAGAACAGCATTTATTTGAAACAGAAACATTTTGTGACATTATACATGTCTTTACTGTCGCTTTTGAACAATTCAATATGTCCTTGATTAATAAAAGTGTTTTTGCATTTTTACATGCGTATTAAAAAGTCACTCACCGCTAGATCTCCTTCCCGTAGCCTCATACCAGCCAGAGATCCTGAAACCAAAAACATATCGGCTCATTAAATCAGACAAATAAAACCGTCTCCAGAGAGGAAGTCTGGAAGGATGTCAGAAAGCTAATAAAGATGTCTCTGATATTATGAAAGGCAAAGAAAAGGTTTTGGAAGAGGCTGTTACTGCTGAACACACAGTTACAGACATGTTCTCATCTGCGACTCGCTGGAGTTTAACGGCAGCCGGTCAGCGGTGATGCTGATGGCCTTGCAGGAAAAAACATTCAATAAATCACCTGCTAACAGGAGCTTCAGCAGCCGAGAAAAATGAGCCCTGAATACTAATATCAACACATCACGAAAACCCATTTCAGCAAAATGGAAACGACTAACTTCGTCAACTGGAATGCATCATCGTCATTTTTTAGCAGTTTCATAAAACATGGTCTCCTCCTACAAGAATAAATTACAAAGCTCTCACCACATCAGCTCATCTGCTGTCCTGAGTCTTAAAATTATCCATTTAAATGTATTATATTTTGAATTAATTAAAATTAACATGTATATATTCAAAATATACTTTACAAAAAAAAACAATTACTTAATTTTATAATAATTATTAAAAATTATTATTACTATTATTAACAAATATTTTATATAATATAAAATAAAATGTGAATTTATTCATTATTAATTGTATATAACCCATAGAATTATATTATGTTATAATTTATATAAATTTAAAAAAAAAATACATACATATACTTGCCGTTCATTTTTATAAAACTATATTTATCTAAAGTATTATTTTAAATAAAAAGTTTACTTAATTTACTTTACACATACATGCATATTTGCTATATTTTATACTTTATAAAAAATATACTATAACATTTTTAAAAGTTTTTGGTATTGTAAATTCTATAAATTATTACAAATGTATATAAATTCTATACATTTATATGTATGTGTGTGTGAGTGAGTGTGTGAGAGTGAGCGTATGTGAGTGTGTGCAAGAGAGAGTGTGTGTGTGTGTGTGTGAGTGAGTGAGTGAGAGCGTGTGCAAGTGTGTGTTTGCGTGCGAGTGCGTGTGTGTGTGCGCGCGCGAGAGTGTGTGTGTGTGTGTGAATATATATAGGTGTGTGTGTGTGTGTGCGCGTGCGAGAGTGTGTGTGTGTGTGTGTGTGTGTGTGAGAGCGTGTGCAAGTGTGTGTTTGCGTGCGAGTGCGTGTATATATATATAGGTGTCTGTGTGTGTGTGTGTGTGCGCGCGAGAGTGTGTGTGTGAATATATATAGGTGTGTGTGTGTGTGCGCGTGCGAGAGTGTGTGTGTGTGTGAGAGAGCGTGTGCAAGTGTGTGTTTGCGTGCGAGTGCATGTGTGAATATATATAGGTGTGTGTGTGTGTGTTTATATATACTTTAAATAAAAATAAATGCTGGCATTCTGATTTTCCCATTTCATACATTTGCATGTAATAAGATGGAAGTCCTTAAACATTATCCACATTAAGCTGATCTTTAACACTCTTGTTTTTATATGTTAATCAGCAATGTAATTTTAATTAAGTGCTTTTCTTTATTTCAAGGTAAAGAAGTGGTTCTTGGATGCTGCTGAGGAGAGACTCGGGATGCTTCTTTATGGTGTGTGTGTGTGTGAATATATATAGGTGTGTGTGTGTGTGTGCGAGTGTGTGCGAGAGTGTGTGCGCGCGCGAGTGAGTGTGTGAGAGTGAGTGTGTGCGAGAGTGTGTGTGTGTGTGTGAACGAGTGTGTGCGTGCGAGTGCGTGTGCGTGTGTGAATATACATATAGGTGTGTGTGTGTGTGTGTAAGTGTGAATGTATATATATATATTAGTTAATATAAATTGTTAATAACTGATATTAATTTAAATATACGCATGTATATGTACATACAGTATATATTGACTCAAAGCAAAGACTGCATTCGTGTGCTGCTGCTGCCATCTACAGTCAGTCAGATCTCAGCAGCGATAAGATGTAGAAAGACACTGTAAAACCACACATGCATCACCCGTTTGTTCAGTATAACATGTTCCTGCTCCATGCTTTAGACTGACAGTGACGGAAGCGCTTCGTTTACCAGGATTGTCTCCAGTGAAGGCCACCACGTTACAGCTCTCTGCAAACCCATAGCGTTCAGTGTAATACAGAGACACACAGCCCTGAACACACACAAACAATGAAGCAGTTCAGCTTACAGCGGAGGCTTGAGACTGATATTGTTACGAGTAAAAGAGTGTATTGCACCAGAACGGCTGTCGACGGCGTCAGGTCTCCGAGTCGCTCGGCTAACTGCGGCGCTGCGGCGTCCAGACAAACCCGGGACCACTGCTTCTCAAATATATCCATCAGATTCATCCCCGAGCCTTCATAGAAACACAAACACACGGCCAGTAAACACACATCAGACTGTGAGAGATTCAATGCAGTCTAGTTATAAAGACTTCAGGGACAGAGAGATGCTTCTGAAAGCTTCTTAATATTTCACACTGTAATATTCCAGCACCAGCATTATAATCTACAGTAGATGAATTTAAATATACATACATATTTTAAATGCGGAATTGGACATTGTATAGTATTACTTAATATAAACAAATATTTATCTAAATATACAAATATTATTTATAAAATATATACTAGAAAATATAAATTTATATAAATTGTATAAACTAATATATATATACTGTATTTATTAATACTTAGGTTGCAGTGTATATTATATCATATTTTAATTGTATATAATATTAATATATTATATTTTAATAGTATTATTATATTTATTATATGCAAATATTTTATTTAAAATATATACATAAGAATATTATTGATTTATATAAATTCTGTAATTTATTATAATACATACACATATATTATATATAAAATAAATATATACATATAAAAATTACAATTTCAATTATTTAAATACATATTAATATATACACATTATATAAAACATAATACAAAACAACACTTATTTTTATATAAAATGCATATATATTTATATAGAACTTATATTATAATTTATATTAATTTAAATATGTCTGTGTGAGCTTCAATGCAGTTTATTTACAAACACTTCAGATCTAGAGAGGAGCTTCTAAAAGCTTCTTAATTCACAGCTTAATATTTCAGCTCATAACGGACCGCAGACGTCATCTGATCACGGTTTTATAGAAAACCATGCGCAGGTTATTTATAATGCATCATTTCTTGACATTGCAAATGCGATCTGCGATCTGAGATCTGAGAGGGGAAGGAGCTGAAAGAACTGCAAGATCATATTTAGTGCAAAAAGACTGCTGAATGAAGTACCGTCGCTGTAGTCGATCGCAGCGTAATCGCCCAGAAACAGTGATGAAGCGAAGCTGCTGATCAGAGAGATTCTCTGAAAACCACACAGATCACAGTTATTACATTCACACGCTAATTAGTGCGGAGCTTTAATTACTGGCAGCCGACTCTTACAGTGTCTGACACGCACCAAACACTCATTCATTCATTCAGCAAAATAAACACAGGAATATATATATATATACACATATACAGCTGGTTTAACGACTTATATATGCATACATAATTACAATGAATATTTATATATTGTAAATTTAGTAAATGGTTTAGTCATTTATTATACATTTAAATTAATTTAAATATACATTTGTATTTTAATCTGACTTAAAGACCTCATAAAAGGGTTTGACAAGAAAAGTTTATTAGTGTTGATTAATTTCCTACTGAAATATGAATTTGGGATGGAAAATACCAAAGCACTCATTTCTTTTTATGTCTGAACTAAAAAAAAAAAATTTTTTTTAAATCATTGTTTTAAAATCTATAGTAATTGTTTAATTTTTTTTTATATTTTATATAAAATAGGTCAAGAAAATGTTAATGTTTTAATTTACATAAATTCTATATATTATTATAAATAAATATATATACATATATTTAATAATAATAATTTTATATAATTTTATTTATTACATAATATTCAATAATATTATAAGACAATATTTATACA